AAGTAATATGAGTTTGCTAATTGGTTTTAATAAAAATTAATTTATAAATAAATTGCATTAAATATAAATAAAAAACTAAATCATAATTAAGTTTGAGCATTCCATCACAAATAGCGCAGGATATTAATTTTTATTAAATTAATTTGAATAAGTTCACATTTCAATTGTTAATCTTTTTTTTCATCATCCGAATCTTCAACTGTAAAATTTATATCTAAATTATCATCATAAAAATTATTTTAATCATCACTATTGTTCGTTAGGAGTATGTCTTCTTCTTCTTTATATTTAGGACCTTTTATACCATATCTGCTTTCCATCCATTTATACTATTCTGTTTCAGTTTTGTTATGGAAGAATCCTACAATGATTACAGTTATATTATCAGTGCCAATGCTGACTTCACTAGTTTTAGATAAATACTGTTCTATCAAATCTTCATAAGCTTTCTTGAGATCTTTATGTTCAGCAATATTTTTGCGAATAAAACTAATCACCACTTGCAATTTAAAGCAGTTCCATATACCTTATATATTTTTTTAAAAAAAATAAGATGAAATAATGCTAATATTGCGCAATGATATTTAATTTTTAAAAATTAAAAAAAAAAATTTTTTTTACCATCACAGGCTAAGACTAAAAACTCTGTAGATTCAATTTTAATCTTGTGTTTTTTAACATCAGAATATGCTTAAAATAAAAAAAAATTTAAAAAAATGTTTAATTAATAATTATAGATTTTATAACATCGCGTATAGACTTTCACCTATTACAATTTGTTTGTCTGCGCCTAAGCTTGGGTTTTTCTTAAATTCAAAGTCACCAAGAGTACGTGATAATACTAAATTTGCTATAGAACGCAAAAACAATAAAGAAATTAATTATCAATTATGAATATTATTTGTCGGTACATTACCATTAACTCACCCAAATTCTACAAATCTACCAGCTTCTGTAATTTGTTTAGTTTCATCTATAAATTAATGTTAAAAAGAATATATATAATAAAAGTAATAAAAATGTAATGAGAAAAAACCTTTATTAGTGGGCTTATGATCCTCTAACATTGGGATTGCCTTGCTATTCTCGCTGAGGACAGCACAAGAATCTCCCACATTTCCCTAATAATTAATAGATAAATTATCAGAACACTAACCTTGAGCACACACAAACTTATAACTATAAACTTACAACGTATATTTCACTATCTGGTGTTAAAATAGCTATAACGGCAATACATTTCGAAGGATCATCTTTTAGTGAGCGATCTAAAATTAAGGCATTAAAAAATATTAAATGAAAAACAATTATTTGAATATAAATTAAAAGAAGAAATAAATACCATTTTTCATATTGTCGTCTGTTCTCAAAAAGCTATTCTTTATCGCAGTTTCAATATCTGTCTCAAACTCAGCGATACAAATATGAAGATTTTTTGCACTATATTTAGCTACATTTTGACCTATTATTAAAAAAAAATTGAAAGCATGCACAAGCATTTAAATTGCATCACGCAAAAAAGGAAGAAAACAGTTATAACTCAAACTGATAAAATGAGAAGAATTTATTAAGAAATTTACTACCGTGGCCGTTGAATATGCCAAAATAACTATATCCTTTTTTCCAAGAAGCTTTAATTCAGTAGTATGAGCGTCTTCCATACTAATATGCTAGCCTTGCATAGCAGATGAAGCATACAGTATGTGGTCATCACTATCAGAAAATGATTGTTTTTCTTTATTCAGTTCTGAAAAGAATTGACCCATTTATTCTAACATGAAAATAGTAGAAGATACAAGTAGATTAATATAAGTAATAAATTGCATTTTTTTTTTTTCTTTCATTTTATTTCGATTGTAAGTTATTTTCAAACATTCAATTGAAAATATTTTATTAATTAGGAATGATAAACATTCAATTGAATTATTTTTAAAATATTTTTATTAATTAGAAATGATTTTTTTTACTTTTTTATATATAAATTGGAAAAAACAATTGAAAAAACAAACCAAGTTAGTTACAAAAAAAAAAAAAAAAAAAAGAAAAATTCATGAAATAAAAATTATACAATATTATTTCTAATTTAATTTTACTATTCGCAATTAAAATTATAAATCATTTGTTTTTTTTTCATTTGATTAAAAAAATATTTAGTATAAGGTTTGTCAAAAAAAAAAAAAAAAAAGAAGTAAAAAGCCTTTTTTTTTTTACCAGTATAATCATTTTTTTCATTATCAATAAAAGAATCTGAGTCAATGATGTATAATTATTGTACCGATATTATGGAGAAGGCCTTGTTTTAATGCTGCAAGAGTCATCAAAATATGTCTTTTTGTCGTATTTTTTTTGTTTTTTGAACTGTTAAATAATATATAACAAATTTTCAATTGAATTTGACAAGTAGATTAATATACTGTATCATTTATTTTTATGCACATATTTAATTATACTATCATTAATAATTAAATTAAATTTATAATTTCACTTTCTTATATCGTGCAGTTTCTGATTATTAAAGTCCTAAATAAAAAATATGGAAAAAATCTGTTTAATATAGTTCGTTCAATAGATGAAAATGTGTAAAAGATATCAAATCATTACAGAAAAAAAATTATGACGTCTCAGAATTAAAATATAAACACAATAAATCTTTCCAAATACCTGATTTCTTGTATTATTATGATATACTTTTAAAAAACAGGTTCAAAATAGACCCAAATCACAAAGAATATAATTTTTTAACTCTCAGAGCATGGTAGCGATCTCTCAAGATTTTGCTAAGAACTTGTCTGGATATATATTCCAAACAGATAACAAAGACAACTTAGAAGGCGAAAAATTAAAAATAAGATATAGTCACATATTTAAAAAAAATAATGCAAAGAGATTAGCAATGTATTAGCATTTGCTCTAGAATTTGGATCCTGAATCGAAAAAGTCTTTTCATACGTGGCAGTTTATTTAAAACTACCGCTACACTAGAGTTCTGCAAATGCCAGACATGATACTGAAATAATATAAAGCCTGGAATGCGAGCATTATTTTTTTTCAGCTCCACATTTTGTCAAAGGATGTATTTGCATTTGTGAGTATTTTTTCTTAAAAATATAAAATTGGATCACTACTTTAATAACTTTAACTTTAAAATAGTTTAGACTTGATAGAGACTGGGATGTATAATGAACCTGATCATTTACTTAATGAAGGAACTTGGCGACAATGATGCATATAACTTTTTTAAATATCATCACG